GTTATAAATTCAAAGCCTGCCTGGGCAACAGATTTCAAGCCCACTCTGGGCAATTTAGTGAGGCTCTGTCTCCAAAGAAAAAAAGAAAAAAAAAATCAAAGAGACATGGAATCTTCCTGCCTACACCCTGGGATACAAGTTCCCTTCCGGCAAGTCCTAATTTTGGCTCAGATACTCCAGACATTCAGGAAAACATGCTCCCACACTCAAACCCCATCTCCACAAAAACAGCAGGCTGTCCTTTCACAACACAGTTTGTGGTCCAGAGGGCAGGTCACACTGATCTCACAGCTCTGCAGATAACCCACACACATACAAGCTGACCCCAAGGAGAGCACAAAGCAGCCGGTCATTTCTAGAATATTCGAGGTGTTGATTTCCCATCTCAATACTTGCTCTCTAATCAGTATTAGATCACGTTGTGTCCTCTGGATTTACGGTTGAGTCGTCTTCCAACATACAGGAAGCTCCGGATCGTGGACAGGTTTCACTGAGGATGGCAAGAGACCGAATCACGTTTCTGTCTCCTGCTTCTTCCAGAGGGTGAGCCTGTGTATCCTGAGTCCCTGGACCCTGGAGACTGCAGGCTGTGAACTCCTCAGATGACCGTCTCTCCCCATCTGAGTAGCAATCCTGCTGATTTAGCTCGTCCAATCAGGGTTTATCTACATACAGTAGCGATGAGAAAGGAAGCCAAGGCCACATGCAGCGGCTCCATATCAGTCATCCTGAGGAAGGGTGTTGGACAGTCATGGAGTCCATTGGGAAACAGGACATGAGGCCTCCGTGATGGGGAGTGTGTACCTGGGGCAGCCTAGCCAAGTCTATCTTCATTTCCAGTATTCGATTTAATGGAACCCCTTCTCCTGACAACTTAGATGTCCCTCATTGTGAACCAAATGGGTGGAGGGAGGGGTCTCCACCGTGTTGTCCCCTGGCTGCGCTGGCAGTAATTACCGACACTGAAGAGAGCTGCCTAACTCCAGATTTGTTTGACTGTTGCTTCCCCATGGGTTTGAGCTAATCTCTAGCAACAGATGCAGGTGTAGGAATAGAGCAGGAGCCAGTTTAGTGACAGAGGTCAGACTCAGTGCTCACTCGGACTTATGGAGCCTTCAAGGACCAACTGCCCTTGTCAAAAAGGGCTTGGAGGAAATGCCACAGCAGTAACGGTAGGTATGGGGGAGAGGCCAGTGACATCAAGGTTGCCCAGAAAGCTCAAGGCAGGGCCTCAGAGCGTTCAGTTGCATGAAACAGACCAGACCAAATGTTTTCAAGATGGAGAACCCTAAGAGAGGTGAGTCCTGGGCCAAGCTGTGTCCTTATCCAGACTTGCCTGAGGCCCCACCCAGTCTCTAGGATTAAGGGATCTTCTGTGAAGTTGGTAGGCTTAACTGGTACCTCTGCAGAGAACAGGGTGGCTTCCTACGGCCCAGGTTCCATGTCAAAAGTGTAGGGGGTGGAGTGGGAGTTGGGGCCACACCCTGGCCTTGGCTCAGACTCTCCCTGTCAGAAGGTGCAATAGCCATCTAGGGACAATGTCTACAGAAACCCAAAGGAGGCTCTCAAGATGGCAAGGAAGGAGTGGATTCTGGAAGCTTCCATCACCCTTTGACTCGGTTAGGATTTGATCTCTAAAGAAACAGGCAGAGACTAGATCTGAAGAGACGTTTACTAGGGCAGGCAGGTGCCAAGGTGTATGCTTTATGAGAGAAGATTTTCACGAGGCAGTTGAGTTCTGGAATTTATAGTTTGGCTACAGGAAAGAACTGGTGCCCCCGGAAGTGAGCAGGGCAGTGTTTGGCATGGCTGTGCGTACATAAGTGGCAGGATATAACACTTTAAAGCTTAAGAACTCATGACCAGATAGAAGACTAGGGCTTGAGGGACAATGTTGGGGAGAAGGCCAAGAGCCAAGAGTTGGGTTGTGGGGTGCATTTTGCAGGATACAAGTATCTAGGATTCTAAGTGTGAATGTTTGGGGTCCCCTTGCTGAGTGCTTCTTGCCTTGCGCAATATCCAACACAGGGAACGGGCCTCCCCACTGGGAGGGAGCTGTGTTTGTCCTGAGGCAGGTGGCATTGCCACCCACCCAGTTCATCTAGCTGCTGTAGGGCTGGCACTTCCTTAGGTGGGATCCAGGGTCAGGCCTCAGAGTTCAGCAGAGATTCTGGTGGGAGAGTTGGGGCGTCTCCTCCCCATTCCCAAGAACTGCACAAACTTTTAGCTCACACTTTGACTAAGCTGTAGGAGCCAAGAGTCTACCTCAAGTGTTTGGAGGAGTGGGCCATGGTGTCTAGAGGGAGTACCCTGCCTTTCCTCTTCCTCAGCTATCTTGATGCCCGATGAGTGCATCGGCGGGATTGCCAGATTGGTGGTCTGTAGGTTTTCTGTCCAGCTGGATTTGATGGTCTGAAATGTGTGGGAGCACGCAGGGCAGGGTGTGTGTGTGTGTGTGTGCGCGCGCGCGCGCGTGTGCGCACACATACACAAGCACTCGTACACGTGGTGTCTTATTAGAATGAGTGCTCTCAGCTGGAGAAAACATTTGCTACTTCGCGCCCTCTGACCTTGACCCTGTGGATTTCTTTGAGCAAGGAAGTGTCTTGACATCAGAGATTTGTAGACAACCATCTTCTAGACTGCTTCTTCCAGAAGTCAGACCCAAGGGGGAGCCAGTGGAGTATAGAATCTACCCCAGCATCTGACTCCTTCCCTCTGTCTCATCGGTGACCAATGAGACAAAATGTTGGCTGATCTAACTGGTTTTCTTTCTTTCCTGAGAGCCAGCCTACAACAGGCGAACGGGCACAGGTAAGAGACTGGGGCCTGATGCAATCAAGTGCAGTGTTGGCGTGGTGTGTAAATGCTCATCTGTCTTACGAAGTCTTAGCTTAGCTGTGGCCCACTGAGGTGACGGCTACCCACCCTCTGCTTGGTTAAAATGGCTCTCCCGATCACCAGTCTTGTAGTCTGTCTGGGAGTGTACCTGCCCCTATCCCACTTAAAGGCAGAGAAGGGGAGTTGACCATATACAAGGAAAATCCTCACCTATTCTTGAGAGTTCTATGGCTCTTAGAACCTCCAGTTTAAGTCTGCCCATAAAGCAAGCTACCCAGGGCCCCTCAAGGTGGTTCTCTGTATTCACCTTCTTTCCAGGCACTATCTTTGGGATATGTTCTTTGATGGAGTGGAGGATGCTGGGTAGAGATCCCAACAGTCTGTCTCTGTGCCCTCTTCAGCCTCACCCACCTGCAACCAACCCTGTCAGGGTCTGGCTGGCCTGACAGAATGTCTGCTCCATCTGCTACTTCTCCCCTCAGTGGGTCACCCACCTTTAGGGTCCTTCTGGTCCAATTCTCTCCTTTATACATTTCCTTGAGATGCTTATATCAGATGCAGGGCGTCCCCCTCAGCACTGCAAGACCCCATCCCCTTTCCCTAATCCTTCAGAAGAAAGCTCTTAATAAATCCTGACTCGTTCTCATTTCATGACCACCTGCTTAATACCTGGAAAAAGAATCTGGCTCTCCAGTCTCCAGCTGGGTTGGCCCCTTAGGGACCCAGGCAAGCTGTCCAACCTAGAGCTACCAAATGTGGCTCTGGCTCCTCACGCTTCCTCCTTCCCATGAGCTTCTTCAAGACCAGAGGCCTACACAGCAAGCCGAGAGTGCTGGGATGTCTGTGGAGACAGGTGCATGGCTTCCTAAAGGCCATGTTCGCTGGCTCTGGCCCGTCTACTCTAGATGCCTCCGTTTCCATGTATGTTGAGGTCAACAGGTAGAGAAATCTGCAGGAAGATTCCCTCTTCCCTTCTCTAGATACAGAACTACCAGCTCAGTGTGGGTGTCCTCAGGCACGGGAGGGCAGTGGGCTGCCAGCACTCTGGAGACTGCAGGGTACCTGTCTCAGCTCAAGGGCACTGAAGCTCACTGAATAGGGACATCATCACTTGGAAGCCCTGCCGTGGCCTGTGACTTAGTTCTGTATAGGCACGGCACACAGGCAGCACGACTGCACTGCATGGGGAAGGGGGGGTGCTGGAGCAGGGTGGGTGGGGGTGGGGGCTGATAAAAGGCAGACAGTGTTTCTGTCTATGACCCTCAAAGACATGTGGCCTCCCCAGCTTGGGAGGCTCTAAAGGAGCTGGCTTTGGACAGCTGAATTTCTACCTTTACCAACTGGGAAGGATGGTACGGGCCACCACCATGTCATTTGCCGATGGACACAGCTGCAGGGGATGTGTCTGTATGTATAGGGGATGGCACTGTATGTATGCCACAGGCAGGCCAGAGAGCAGGCTCATCTCAGAGTGGCAAGGTTCTCAGGTACCTCTGCTGGGCAGTTCCCAAACTCTGCTTCAGGAAGTCCTGCTGAGATTCCCAGAAGGTTCCCCCTGGGTCCCACAGCTTTAGAGGCCACCCAATGCTTCCAGGCTTACACGTGCCTGCCATCAGAACCCTCTGCTCTTCATAGCTACTCTCTGACCAGATGGTGACACTTGGAACTGGTGGCTGGCGTTGAGGACCGATCAGTATCCAGCCCCTTGACGAGTGTGTGTGACTTGGAAGGTCCCAGTTAAGGTTCCCGGACAGAGGCAGGGGTCTGGCCTCAAGGGTCCCCGTGCCACAGATGCTCCAAGTCTGAGCTGTCCATGAGACAGGGAGGTGTTGGGAGATGGCCTGGCAGCACTAGACTTCTTGCTGGGCCCCTTTCCTCCTGCGCCCTCCCACACCCACAGCATGTTGTTCACAGAGCAATTAGCCTCACAATTAGCCTAAGGGTTCTCTCTAGGCCAAGCCCCTCCCACCTAGAGGCCTCCAGGAACCCCTCCCTCTAGTGACCTTAGTGTGTCCCAGGTCCCCTGGCTTCCCTCCAGCCTTGTCACCCTCAGGGGAGGGGTTGGTGAGCAGAGGAATGCCTGTGAGACAGAGGTGGGCCGGGAGACAGAAGACGCTTCCTACACAGGGGATTTGGCATTGAACACAGCAGTTAGCAGCTTAGAATTCCAATAGCTTTTTAAAAAAACAATTCAACCCCCTAAAAACAAAAAGCCTCACAAAACAGCAGACCCCTGTACCCCGCCCCCCAGTCTAATGTAACAGGCTAGCCACTAATACAATAGTAAAAGACATTACAATACAGCACTAATGCAAGTGGCACAGCAGATGGACCCAGTGTGGTGGGAACACAGCCTGACACACTACTCAGACACTGACCACTCACAGAGGCCAGGCAGGGGTGTCCTTCAGGGCAGTGACGTTAGGACAAAACCAAAATGCAAAGCACTGGGCGAAATGGCTGTGGCTGGGTCTTGATTTAAAAACAAAAACCTACAGATGGACAACCTCAGACATCGCAAATAGGAATGACAGGACCTTCTCAGAGGGCCTGGATCAGCACCACGAACATGGCCAAGAATCCCTGCCCTTTGAATCCAGGCTGTGTCTGAGGATACACCCCAGGATGGAAGTGGGTTCCTGCCCTGATTTCCAGGGAAGAGGCCTCGGTTCAGATCTCTGGGAGAACCTTCAGGAGGTACTCTGACCTCAACCTCTGCCTCCTTATCCCAATGAAAGGGAACCCCAGAAGCATAGAGGAGCCATCAGGGTGGCCAGTGGTAAAAGTCACCACTATGTAAGAACTGCACAGTAGCCACTCCAGCTGACACCTCCTTCAGAGAGGCCATGATCTGAGACAATGGCAGGGGCCGGCAGGGGGTTCTCATATCCTGAAGTCCCTCCAGCAGGTCAGCTGTTTCAGTGATGTGCTGGCTGGACTTGACAGTCTCCCCCAGAACAGAACGGGAAGTCTGCAGAATGGTCCCACATGGAGGCAGCAGCTTTCATACTTAGGGAGCTGGAGTGGTCACGCCACACAGGTGGCAGAGAGCAGAGTGGTGCTTGGTGTCTGTTCTCCTGAACAATGGCCATGGGGGGCTGAGAGGGGATGTGGTAACTTGACAGATGTTGCTAGCAGTCTCAGGAACAATGAAGGTGGATGATGGAGGTGTGTGGGTGGGCGACCCATGGTACTGGTCTGGTTCTAGGAGAGCTGGGGTGGGGCGGGGAGTGCTGTGTGTGTGAGAGCCAGAGTCAGCCTGTGTGCGGAGTGCACAGCCCTATAGCTGGCAGGTGGCAGCCAGGTGCTGTTAGGGTTACGGCTGCAGAGGTCTTTCATATGGGGCCAGGGGAAGGGAAATCACCAGGACTGCAGGGTGGCGGGACCCGAGCTCTACATTTACAAGGTAACAAGTGACCCACGGCAGAGGTCTGCCTCATGAGTAAGGTTGGGGTTCTATCTCTAGGACCACAGAAAACTAAAACCCAAGCTAGCATATGTGTCGTCCATCTGTCAGTCCAAGTCCACAGTGGAACAGCTGATGTCGGAGTCTCAGTAGTTCTTTCGACCTGGTGACAGTGATGTGGTCTCCTTGAGGCACCTTGTGCTACTCAACAACAGCCTTTGGAGAAGAGCTGTGGCCACAAGTCCCCACACTCAGAGCGGGACTGTTTGGCCACACCATCTCCTGCTCCTTGCTACCCTGTTTTGTTAAAAAATAATCATCTCGGTAGTGTAAACTTGACCCAAATGCACGCTACAAAAACAAAACAAAAAATCAGAGGGGAGAAAGCCCAGATGTGGCAGTCCCCAGAAAGTCAGGAAGTCCAGGCCTCAGGACACAGCACGCAGGCCTCACACCGGGTGCTATGTATGCATGGACGGTCACCTTCTGGGACAAACTCGTACCAGTTTTCTTTCACAGCCACTGTGGACCCCTGACCTGAGGGGCAGCGGGTGTTGTTAGATGGTTGGTGGTGCTCCCTGGAGCTGTGGGGATGACAGGCCTGGACGCTACTCTTCCGAAGGTGAGGTGTCTGGAAGCAGTCACAGTGCGCTCTCCCTGCGGCACCCAGGACTCGTGGCTAAGTCTCCTGAGGTACCACCTGCATCAGCTTCTGGCAGAGCACCGTCACAGAGACTGCAGGGAGAGGACACGAGTGAGCATAGGGTGGAGGTCCGGGAGTGAGCTGCTGGCCACCTGCTCTCACCAGCCCACTGACCCTTTGAAATTTCAAGTGAAGGGGCTGGACATGGTGAACACAGGTAACTGGAATCAGCCTGACCTGGGTGCCTTAGGTACAACTTTCTCAGCCTCTATCTCGTCAGGCCACCATGTCTAAGCTAATGGCCAGCAGTGGGGTTCTGACAGTTGGGAGGGCAGCTGGCCACAGAATGTCTGCTAAGACCAGCTAGGGTGGCACCCCAGGTCTACTCCCTGTATCCCCGGGACTCTCAATGCCAGCCCACACTATATTAGTGACCCAAACCCTTGGCTAGCACCACAAAGCCTGAGGCCCAGCACGATTCTCTCGGCCTGTAGGGTCTGCACAGCAGGACCAACGATTCCTCAAGCCTGGTATTCCCGCCCTGGCTGGGATGGGTGGTGGCATGTTATTCCTGCCCTGGCTGGCATGGCAGTGGCATGTTATTCCTGCCTTGGCTAGCATAGGTGGTGGCATGTTATTCCCGCCCTGGCTGGCATGGCGGTGGCATGTTATTCCTGCCCTGGCTGGCATGGGTGGTGGCATGTTATTCCCGCCATGGCTGGCATGGCAGTGGCATGTTACTCCCACCCTGGCTGGAATGGCGGTGGCATGTTATTCCTGACCTGGCTGGCATGGCGGTGGCATGCACACTTACAGATGGCCTGCAGAATCCACTTAGGCTTGTTCTTCCACCAGACACCAAAGAAGTAGACAGGCAGCCCGCTGAGGATGATGGCAAAGCCAATGCCACACTCCATGGGTGTCTTCCAGAATGACACAGCAATGAGGAAGAGGCAGGCCAGGATAAAGAACACGGGGAGGGCCAGATTCACCTGGGGCAGAATGGGGACATGTGGGCAACCAGGATCTCCTTCCCCACACGCCCGTGGCCGGTGCACACAGTGGAAAGCTCCTACCTACTGCCCTGTGGCTGCCATGTGGCATGGAGCCATCATCATGGTTCAGGTCTGCCTAGCCACAATCTCATCAGGTATAGACAGGAATAAAAACAGCTAGCTTGCTTTCTCTCAAAGCTTCCACAGGGTACCAGAGGTAGGCTCTGCAGTCCCCACATCAGACAACGGAAACCCTGGCTGGAATATCTACTTACGGCCACCTAGAGGAGGTTGACTCTTCTGGGAAGACCATGGCTACCCACCAACAAGCAAGGAATCCTGCCTTCTCAGAGGACACTTTGTGGCTAGAAATGCTCATCCCAACACCACTGCCTGCGCCTAGCCCAAGCAGACAGGCTTCTGGCAGAGTGGCGTCAACACTGAATAGCCCAGCAGGCGGAGCTGGGCTCAGGCCAGACTGCTGTCCAGAACCCCACTGTCTTAAAAATGGACTCCCACTGTGGGAAAGAGCCTCAGCAGAATAGACTCTAACCATGTGCCCAGGGATGAAGCCCACAGCTTATCTGTGAGCTTTCCATGGATCAACTGTGGGCAGTATGACCTCTGTCCCCATAGCCTGGAAGACTGGGTGGTAAAGCCAGCATGGTTGGGGTCTCCCACTAGCTGGCCACCAGGTAGCTTGTGTTATTGGTAGAGACCACTGAGTATGGGTAGAAACAAGGTACGACTGGGTCAGCCTTGGGCCCAGGAGAACACGCTGGCTAACAGAGGCTGCTGGCCACCAGCCACCATAAGCCAGCTGTCTTGGGACAACTCTGATACTTGCTCTGACCCCAGCAGATCGCCTTTAATGTACCCTTCATATGGTACTCACACAGAAGGGGACAGGCTCCCTTGTTTGCCAAGGAGAGATGGAGGATGGACAGGGCAGGATCAGAGGTGCTAGTCCAGGGCTCCTGGGATGCAGCCCTTACCTGACAGTGATACCCGAGGACGGAGCAGGGACACCACCCAGCACTCACCTTGATGGGACGCTCCAGCTCAGGCTTCTTGAAGCGCAGCCACATCATGCCGATGATTGCCAGGGCCACACACAGCCAGTTGAAGAAGCTGAAGAAGTTGATGATGGAGAAGATGTCTCTGGAGAAGGCGTACATCAGGGTCATGACACACTGAAACCAAAGACAGAACCTGGTGAGCCTGGCAGGGCTGTGCTGATACGGCTGGGAGAGTGCCAGAGGCTCCCGGACAGCAGACTGCCAGCCCAGCCAGTGTGTGACTGAGCATAACAGCTTGCCCTTGCTTTAAGAAGTGACTGCTGTGATCACATGACAGGTCTTGAGATGCAAAGGGAGGGGCAGTGGGAACTGTGAGGCACCTGCACTTAGCACCTCCTGTGGCCTCTCGTGCCTGAAGTGACCAAAATATCCAATGGGGGACCCTTCCAACAAAGCACAGTGCACACTACACACCACACCACTACCAAAAGCAAGCTCAAAGCGACACTGACTTTGCTTCGGAGGAACCCCGAATTCCCGACTCAGAAAGTGTGAGGCAGTAAATGCTTCTTGTTTAGGCTTTCTGGAGTCATGGTGACAGTTTTGTTACACAGGAGAGGACTAACGAAACTCAACAAACGAGCACGGACAACAGCATAGTCCAACTTGTGTGCCTAGACCATTAACACGGCACAGGCATGGCAGAGCAAACTGGCATAGATGAAGCAGACACGCTGTCTACGCAGTCGTTCCTGCTGGGCAGACGTTCCTGCTGGGCAGGGGTTTCTTTTCATCACTTGATGACTGACTGAGCTATCTCTTTAGAACCACAATGGAGTTCCGAACTTTAAAATCTGCTACTGTGTTGCAGCCTGGAGCATCTTGGCAGCCATGTGCACAATACACAGTTCCCAGCTACATACTGCGCTGGGCATAGACACTGGGCAGGACCACGTGATAGACTCACCGTGAACACCAGTGACGGCACAGGTGTCAGGAGCTGTGGGTGGATCATGGAGAGAACAGAAGGCAGGTGGCCCTCCCTGGATCCCACGAAGAACAGTCTGTGGATGGAGCAGTGGGCAATCAGCCCTGGCCCCACCACCCAGACGTAGATGGGAGATGCCTGGAGCTAGGGAGTCTGTCAGCTACACTGGGAGGGCTCGGCCTTTGCCCCGGCACAGAACCTTCAATGTCCTTGACCTCTTGTGCTAACAAGGACAGAAACCTAGGGCTGTACCTCACTTCTAGCCCCCCATGATATGATCTAAATAGCAGAAGGTCAGAACAGTTCCTCTGTTCCCAGGTCATCCAAGTATTTAACACCAGCTGTCTATCATGAATAAACTGACAGCTTTCAACGCTCGGGAACCAGCATGAGGAGTCCCTTCGAAGTGCTGTCAAGCGCTTACCTTGAGGATGTGAACAGAGACCCGTTGACAGAGCCGAAGCAAGACAAGCCCACAAAGACAGGAATGATCCAGGACATGACTCCCAGGTGGTAGTTCCCAAAATCCTGGACAAACACAACACAGGGTGAGCGCTTGACTACAGTGGTGCATAGGCAGGACCTCAACTCTGGCTCCTAGAGCTGCTTAGCCTGTGACTCGGCCCTTAACCTCAGGCTTCTACAATGTGTGGCCATCTTTCAGAGTTAGGGTCTGCACTAAGAGGGAACACACAGGGTCCCACAGCGGGCCATCCCCAAGTCTTGCTGTAGGGCACACATAAGGCGCACTGACCCCTGCCCACGGGATACATGGTATATCTTTGACAGGGCTCCCCTTCCTGATGGCTGCTTCAATCTGCCAAGGGCTGGGGTTGTGGGGATTCATAAACCATGAGCTTAGAGGCAACACTGAAATAAACAAAGTCTAGACAGCTCTGTCTCTCCTCGGTGGTCCCCTTCAGTGGACACCAATGATGACCACCAGACTCCCCAGGTAGGGTGAGGCTTAGGCACAGGTCCGGGGTTGGGGGTACAATCTCAAGCTCTCAGGCCTAGGAGAGGCTGGTGGGCAGAGTCTTACCACAGCCACAGCTTCAGAGGTCAGCATCTGGCCAGTAGACAGGGTAGTGAAGTAGGCCAGGTTCGTCAGCACATAGACCAGTGTGACGATGGGCAAGGAGATGATGATAGCCAGGGGTAGGTTCCTAGGAAGACAGGCAGAGACAGTCAGTGTGACCCAGGACTTGGGGCTGGACCCCAGGGGCAGGAGCCAGGCTCCCTGCCCTCTACAAGTGGCTCCACGTCTGGGCCGCACTTCTGAGGCAAACAGCACATGGCTTGATAAGCCCACTGGACTTGGGCAGCTGTGCACAACTAAGCACAGCTCACACTCTCATCCCTCAAATACTGAGCATCTTCTTGGAGGCTCTGAGGGCGGAAGAGAGCCAAGACTGCCCAATGTGAGCACCCACGTCCTACCTATGAGCATACCCCAGCCGAGTCCCTCCAACCGGTGTCCAGGGCCAAGAGCCACAGCTGGCCCTCTCTGGCCTAGAATCAACCCTGTCCCTACAACATCCTCACTGCAGGCCCCTCACACTCACAGTGCCTTCCACAGAAACAGGCAGGGCTCATCAACAGGCTCTTACAGGGTGTAGTTTTCCCCTGTCATGTTAAAACAAAATGAAATATGTCTCTGCCATTTCTGTACATACCTGTAGGGGTTGATCATCTCTTCCGTCACAAAATTCAGATAGTTCCTAGAAACCAGGCAACAGTATGTCATTGTATTGTATACACAGTCATTACCCGAGGCTGCTCTGGGTGGCGTTGGAATGAGACCGACCCCTTAGCTCACATAAGTGCACGCTCAGTCCCCAACCAGTGGGCTATCAGGGAAGGGTTGGGAGACGTGGCTTTGTTGGATTCGCTGTGGCTTTTGTGCCGCTAGGGTGGACTTTGAAGTTTCAAAAGCCCACATGCGGCCCAGAGTGTCTCTGCCTGCCTGCTTACAGTCAGGAGGCAAGCCTTCATTCAGCTCTGCTTCAGCATCTCCCTGAGCCAGCTCCCTGCCATGACAACAATGGACCAACCCTCTGAGACTGTAACAACATGGACCAACCCTCTGAGACTGTAACAACAATTGATCAAGCCTCTGAAACTGTAACAACAATAGACCAACCCTCTGAGACTGTAACAATAGACAAACCCTCTGAAAGTGTAAGCTCCTGATTAAATGCTTACTTTCCTAAGCATTGCCTTGGTTGTGGTGTCTCTACAGCAGCAGAACACTAAGACATAGGGGACAGGAGAATCCTCTGTGGCCTCCCAGGGACCCCACTGTTGACAGCAGCTGGGCAGTGGGTACCCTGGGACCAGCTCCTCACTCTACTCTGTCCTCTGCCAACTCTGAGATGAGCACACAGGCCATCTTGTTAAACCACTCTCTGTGGTTTCATCCCAAGTCTCTTTCTATACAGCTGTCCTAAAAGCAGAGGACAGGCTAGGCACCATATGGAGAACTGCAGACAGGGCAAGCTCTCCCTGCCTGTTTCGTAAAGGTCGTGACCTGTAGGTGCCCGTGCAGGTCTTAAAGATGTCCTTGTGTTCTGTCCCACCCACTTGAGTCACCTCTGTATGGTCAGAGCACCGAGATTCTGAGTACATCAGGACCATGTGTTCCCAGGCCAAGGGATTCAGATGTTCCAGAACTTACCATCCTCCGTAGGCGAAGAGGCCACTGTACAATGCCAACACAATGTTCCCCACATCCAGATTGGTGCCTTCAAAGGACAACTTCTGTTGCAGGATAGACGTATCACCTACAACGCATTAAAGAGAACAACATTGGTTAGAGGATCTGGACAGAGGTCACACTACAAGTTCTGGACTATTTCTAGAGCAAAAGACTATAGCAGAAGGTCGGGATGCAGGCATTTACTGCAGTAGACTGACTGCACCTGCCTAGCCATCCGACCACCCGCCATCTACATTCCCTGGCCACTTAGAGGATTATGGCCTGCCTAGAAAGCCACGAGATCTCTGCAGACCGAGGGTGGGCCTTGGCTGGGAGGGATCAGCTCCAGAGCCTCTGACACAGGGCTGTGTGCTCATATGCGGCTGCAGGCAGGCTTATTAACTTTTAGCTACATGGAGATTTTGACACCTTGGCCTCTTGCTAGGAAGCTCAGGAAACCCTGGTACAGGGCTGCTAGGAATTAAGTGGGAGGAATTCAGGTCAGACGTGTACCACCCCAAATATGTGTGAGCAAATGCACACAAGGATGAGGACAGGGTGAACTGACAGAGTCAGGGCACCCGGAGACACCCTGCTTGGAGCAGAGGCCATTTCACACAACCCCTGCTTGTGCCCACCACTCAGATGACCACACAGCTCAGGCTTCCAGGTAGTGTTCTTTCTGAGTAATTTTTACAGCTAGTGGCTATCGGAGTAGAGTCTCAGGGTGGTCACTGGGCTGCTAGGATGCCCTTCCTGAGGCTTGGTTACCTTATCTGGGAAATGGCTCATTTCATCAAGACTGTGAAATTGTGCTACTTAACGATGCCAGACTGGAAACAGGTATCTGGGCACCAGCAAGGTGAGTGGCTAGTTCTCTACAGACTCAGAACCCCTATCTGTGGGGCTTGTTAGTTCTTGTGACTCTGGGCCCCTGAGCTACAGCACTGACATATGGTTCACATGACCTAAGACCATGAGCCCAACAGAATTAAGGCGCCTTGAAACCAGAGGTACAGTGTGATCCCCCAGAAGTCAACTGTTTCTCTGTGTGGTTATTATCAAGGCAGCACAGGGGCCTGGCCAGGTCTGCTTAAGACATCATCAGGCCAGCTACTCTGGGGCCAGGCCTGCCTGATTCATACTCCTGGGTCAAAGTCAACAAAGGACCCAGTAATGGAGGTCTCCACAGAATGTCTTTCAGTCCTGTGCCAAGGTCTGACTAAGAAGGACCAGTTGTTTCACAGCCTTCTGCATGTATAGAATGTCCCATGATTCTGTTCCAAAGCCTGAGTTAAGGATGTCCTGGGCACCCCACCCTCCTCAGGTTAGACCTAGTCTTCTAAGTGTTACCCACACGTCCATCTGCCTAGATCCTGGTCACAGGATAGTCAGAAGCTGGCTTGTGGTGAGCAGTGCAGGGCAGCCCAGGACAGGGCACCTTCAAAAGCGCTTTGGTGGAGCCTCCCACAACTCGGGGCACGCCCCTCATACTCTTCAATGGAAGGCTCTGGAACAAGGAGAGCCTTTCTGTGCACAGGGCCTAACTCACACGTCGCTGCCCTGGGTAGCACTCTCCCGTGTGTTGGGAGACCAAGGCAGTAGTATATGAGGACCTGTCGTCAGGCTCTGTGAGAATGGAAGCTGATTCTGTGCCATGCTGGGACCCTTTAAGGGATGGAAATGAATAATAATGAAGGCCAGAGACCTGGAACAGTGAGCAGAACCCACCCTGAGTCAACAGAGACAGCTTTAGCCTGGAGTCCACAACTGCTTTGTAATACGACCTCAGGCTAGCTGAGAGGACACAAGCTTGGGGCAGTGTGAGGTTTTCCAAGTCAGAAGGAGATGTGTTCAGTCCTGCGGCTCCTGTAATATGTCAGTGTTTGCCCTGTGGACACCACCATGCTTGGGTCATGACATGAGTGCAGCCATCACCCAAGATGCCGGTGTGGAGCCAAATACCCGGCAGAGCAGCACGTCCTGGCTCTGCCTCACACCCTGGAACACTCCTGAAAGAATAGCAGCTGCTGTGAAACACCCCAGCTTGAGAATCTCAGTGGCTCCATTCCCAGAACTCAGGAGGCTGGAGCAATCCTTTGAGGACCTTAGTACTTCAGGAGACCTCAGGAGGAGAGTGATGTCGGGGTGCACAGAGAGACGACACCCAGATCATAAAGTCTAGTACAGTGGGCAGGATGTCTGCTTCCTAATCCAGACTGGGGGTGGGGGTGGTGGGAGGAGGGTTGGTTCAATCTCCTCAGCAGATGCTTCTCTGCCAAGGACTCAGGATTGTACCAGTGTACCCATCTCAAATCTACCGCTTCCCTTTCCCACTGAGGACAGAGGTGAGGACTGAAGTCAGGTATGTGTCAGGGCTTATGGCATTAAGCCTGGGCTGCAGCAGAGCCCTGCATGTGGTGACTGTGGTCTATGCTGGACACTGGCCCAGGGCTGGAGGCTACAGCTTCTCCTAGTATTTGACTAAATAACATTGTCTCCATAGGCACCATGGAATGGAAGCAGATTCCACCCAAGCTGTTCCCAGGCTGGACTGACACACAGGTGACCCCACAGTGCCCTGTCACTCTTTGAAAGTAGTTCCACCTTGGTGGCTTGAGAGTTTGAGGGAGTAGCCATACCCACAGGTCTGATCTATAGAAGGCAGCTCCCTTGGGACTGATTGAGTGGCTTAGAAAGAGAAAGTGAGGCAGGCACCTTGCAGGAAGCGGGTCAAGCCTGGGATTTAGATGTAACCGCTCCACCTTAACCTAGAAGCCTTGGAGCTGTCACAAATCCAGACAGGGATGGGGTAAGTGGCGGGGTCCCCGTGTCAGCAGCAATCAGATTTGCTGCTCAATGGGCACAGCAGGACCTGCACTGCCAGGCCCGAAGGTGACGTCCCCAGGCCTGTTCGCAGTCAGGCCTGATCCCCGTGTCCACATAGCTTTAGGCACTGGACAATGGGTAGGTGAGGGTTCACTAACTAACAATGGCAGACACAGGGCAGCCCGACTCTAGAGTACAGAGGCTCCTCCAGGCTGGTGTGTCCTGGAAAAGGCGAGGGCCCCAGGCAAGCTGGTAAGCAGGAGAAACCTAAGGCACTGTGGTCCTGTATTTCTGGTACCAACCCACAGTACCCCTGCAGCCAACCTCAACCCAGGGATAGTGCTGGGCTCCTTTCTGTTCTCCTCCACACTCTGGCTACATGCTTCTCAGTTAGCTCTGGGCCTGCCAGTTTTCTGCAGACACACATTTATCTGTAAAGGTAGCTTGTGCTGACGAAGCGTTGCCAGGTGGCACAATCGTGAATAACGGAGTTCCAGACCAACAAGGATCCTAGTCAGACACAGGAGACAGATGAGATAGTCACAAGAAGATGGAGACCATGTGGCCTGCTGCTCTGGGGGTTCCAGGAGGGACATTCCTGTAACCAGGGCACAGGGCCCCTGTGTGGAGGACTGACCAAGCCTGGCATCCATCTTGAGGGACTGTGTTGAGCCCTTGGGCATGGAGTACAGCCAGCTCTAGTATGTCTGAAGCTTGAGGTGTTATCCCACAATAACGCATACTTCAAATCCCCCAGTCGAGTTGAGGCTAGCCTGGGGCACCCCTTCAAAGACAGCTCTAGAGGTAGATGAAGAGTTGGCATCCTCTTCCCTAGCATGTCCCCAGGCTTCCCTGAGATGGCTTTGGAAGGTTCCAGGCTGCTGATCCCATTTCCTGTTGGCAGAGCAACCAAGCGTGGGTCACTGTCACCTACTGACAAAGGACATAGCTAACATACAATTGAGTAGTTCACTTGTAGCTGACCCACGGCAGCATACGTGATGGCACTTGCTCCTTCCATGATCCCTGGCAAAGCAGGTGACCACTCACTCAAGGCTCAGGCTAATGACGTCTGCCTTGTACGATGGGGATGGTGTCAGCCATTAAAGCCCTCTCCTGGGCAGTCCATGTGGGGGGAAAGGAGAAGGCATTATGGGATACCACACCAGTGATGGCCCAGGCCATCGCTTTATCCTGTTCTTGTGGGGTTCATCCCAGCAGAACCACAGTAGAGCTACTTTGTGTTCTCTGACGACCCGGGACAATTAACAGTCACAGGAAAGAACCTTCCAGAGTCCACTCCCACGCCTGGCCTTGAGAAGAAGGCCTGGCACCCACTCATGTCCTGGAACAGTCTGACCTCGAGCCACAGTCCATTCGGGGTACTGTTGGCAAGGGGCCACTTGACTAGAAAGGACACAGTGGGTCAAGGGCAGTGGAATCCCTGCCCAACATGTCTGTCGCTTGTCTCTCTTGCTTCAGGTCCTCTCGGCTCACAGTGGCCAACTCACCCACTCCCACTCCCAAGTCCAGTCACAGCTAGTCAGATCTAATGTCAGTCTGGGCACAGTCTGCACTTCTGAAAACACTGGACCAAGTGCGGATACCTTGTGAGGTCACCGATGGGCTGAGTTCTCCCCAGCAATCTAGGTACTGGGGGAGACGGGATGCTTAGGAGTGCTTTCAGGGCCTGGGTCAGAGCCTAATCTAGCTGTCTGTATGTCTGTCGTCCTAGCTGCAGATCTGTGGCTAGCTGATATTCTCCCACAGTCACAGGAGCTCTGGACTACAGGGCCTGTCTTCTCTGCATCTCACGTGAGGGGGCTGCAGAGATTCATTCTGTGGAAGGCTGGCAGGGTAGAGTGAGTGATGCCCACAGTTTATCACTTTCCCTGATGAGAAAATAGCCTGGGCAGCGGGGTCACCTAAGGGCTGGCGTGGTCAACGAGGAAGCTGTTCAGAGTCATGTGGAAATGGCCACCATGTTCCCAGACCCACAGAGGTTTCATTAAAGCAAGCTCACGCACATGACCAGAGCCAGGGTCTCTGCCTTCAAGGACCTGGTGATCACTGTGGTCCTCTAAGGACTCTATGCCCAATGGGAAATGAGGGTGGGCAAGTGGAAGCGGCCAGCATTCCCACACTGTGTCCTTCACAAGTAAAGGCATCCATCTGGGTTACAGACACCACGCCTCCACTCCCCCTCAACCACCCACAGAGGAATTTTGCTGCCACTGCATAGAGTCCTGGAGCTCAGAAAGGAACTGCCGGGGGCGTGGGGCATACTTGCCACAGCCACCAGAATTATAAACACATTGTGTATTCAGGCCTGACTGACAAAAGCTCTGCTGTCCCCCACTCCAGTCTGTTTTCCTAACAGTAGTTCTGGTGCTCGACTCCTCTCTGCATCTCAGCATGGCAGCCAAATACAGTCCCGGTCAGCACTCCTTCCTCCAGCCACGTGCTGTGCAGTGTGACGGGCTGTGAGCACAAAGTATGACCCCTTCTGCCCAAAAGACAGGTCTGGACCACTGCCTGGAGTATCCAGGTCATGCTCAGCTCAAGTCCCTCCCTGGCAGCTGGGAAGTCCTTCCCAGCACTTGTGTCTGAGGCCTTGCCTCCCATCGCACCTGGGAAAGAGCTGGATGGAACTCTCTAGAGCTCTGGAGACTGTAGGACTCGAACAGCAAAGGCCTCAGGCCACTCTGCTGCTGGACTCCAGGTGAGCAGTTCACAAGCCCGTGCGTGGATATCCCTGCCAGACATTCTTGAAGGACTGGGCCTAGCTGTGGAAGCACCATGTTCCAGGATTTCCATCACCTCAAGCACAGTGGCAAATGGTTCCAGTCACATATAAACACTGTACAGGCAGCTAAGGCCACAGGGAAGCTGTGGAGTTTTTGCAGACAGGGCCCACCCCTGCAGGACGGCAGGTCCTCAGGCTTCCCCAAGCTCCTGTGCATGCTTGTTCCTAGGCTTGCTCAAGTCTGTGGAGTGAGGCTCCAGAGAGGAGGGAAGGCAGAGAAACGACTGGACTGTATCACAGGTAGACAGTGGACAACCACCCCATTCTCATCCACTCAGTCCAGTCAGGAGGCCTTAGCATGGTGGAAAGCCTGGCGTGTAAGGAGGACAGTAGCTACTGCCCGTGGAAGGTAAGCCCATAGTCTCCTGTACCTAGGCATTTGGAACTTACCATACCTACCGAAAGGTCAGAAAGGGAGGCAGACCTCAGCCAATCCCCAACTCTACGCTGGGTCTGCTCTCATCTATGAAATGGAGAATAAGGCCCCTGCTGCCTCTGCCCCAGGGCGACACCAGGACCAGGGACGTCCTCTGCAGTTCCTGGTAAGTGGTGCTGAGCACTGACTGCTGCCGTGTTCTGGCTCAGCCTAAGTCTGCAGGAGCAGTGACACTGTACACTACAGCTCTCAGGCGGGCACTCAGCCAGCTCCTATCCATCTTCATTCAGGCCACCACAGGGACTGAGATAAACGCAAAGGAGGAACTGCAATCAGGGGCCTGGGCCGGACCTGAGCTGCAGGGCCTCGGCTTCAATGCAGCCCACAGAGGGTGGACGGACGAGAGGACATGACTGCACCCGTGTGTATTAGGACTTGCAGGCAGCTGTCATGTCAGAGCATCCCGTGTGGTGTGCGGACTATGCAGAGTGCATATCTGTATGTACATGGTTCCCTCTCCCTTTCCCTGTTACCGGCAGCCTCACAAGGCAGCCAGAGAACGACTCAGAGGCCCAGATGACCTCCCCAAACACATACAATGTGTGGCCAAAGTCCAGGCAGTTTGAACCTGACACTCCTCATGCTGGGAGAGCCTGAGTGTCAGGGTGACAGAGACTTCCTTGCATCTATATCTGCTGACATCGTGCTTAAATTAAAACGGTGCTCCCACCTCCCAGGCCTGATCCCTGTGCTTGTACTGGAAAGACAGCCACTGGGCCCTCATCTGCAGACAGATACTCTGAGGGTTGGTTCCTAGCCTCCTGAAGTGACCCCACTCCTGAAAGCACTCTTAACATGCCATTGAGGCCAAATTCCCATTGTCTGCCAGCCCCTGGAGTCAGAGGCCTAAGAACCCCATACTCATCTCAGAGTGGTCAGTCCTGGGAGAGCGCCTCACTCAAGGGACATGCTGTCCATAAAGCAGAAAGAGGGGCATGTGGTGGTTGAGGCCATGTCACATGGAAGCTCCGACCCCCAGCTTCCTGCACAGACAGACAGACACTTGGGACTCCCCAGAGGCCTGCGCACTGACTGGGGACAAGGCTTTAAGGTCTTGTCCACACTCTCTGGCATTCAGTCTCTTGTACCGTTCAGCTTTCCCTACGCCCAACTCTATGTCCCAGGCGAGGGAGCAGGCAGCACCTCACCACAGCAGCAGGCCCCACATGCTGACAGAGCCCTCACCACAGCAGCAGGCCCCACATACTGACGGCTCACCTTGCCCCATGTCCTTTCCCATCTGGATGAAGCCGAGCAGGATGATGAGGGCGAGGGCCAGCAGCTTGGCAGCCGCAAAGGCGTCCTGCACACGGGTAGCAGCCTTCACACTGTAGCAGTTCACGGCCGTGAGGAGCACTGTGGGGAGGACAGAGAGAGTGAGCGTGAATCCCCACAGGGCGGCTGCTCTGGTCCAGGGTCCGGGCACAGAGAAGGTCAGGTACTGGCTGGGCTCCCACAGAAGCAAAGCCCTGCCTGCCTCCCCATGGGCTCTGACTTTCTGAGACTTGTTTTGATAATGCTAGCTGGTTTTCTGGGGCCAGGGTCAAAGGTTAGAGACACCAATTCTTCAAAGAGCCTGATCCTGGCTGCCCTGGATAGCCTGCAGCAATTTTTTTTTTTTTTTTTACAGACAGGGTTTCACTATGTAGCCCAGGCTGGGCTCAAACTCAAGCTCCTCCTCTCAAAGCCTTCTGAGTAGCAGGAGGACAAGCCTGTGCCACCAGGCCCAGCTCTTTACCTGGCCTTTGTGAGACAGGGGTCACTGTGTAGCCCCACTGGCACTGAACTTTGGATCAGTTGCCCTGAGTGCTGTGATCAGACATGTGCCACCATGCCTGGCTACGGTTCCTTGTGTCTCAGCGGTCTCTGCCTCCTTAGGGACTCCCCATCAGAACCCCTTCCTCTGCTGCTGCCTGTGTGTATCTGCTCTGTGGAAGGACAGACTCAAGTGAAATTCAAACAGCTTGGAGGATGGCCCCTAATCCTAGGACAGAACACGCTAGGGTCGAGCACAGCACTGTAAACTGTGCAGTGACCTCAAAGACGACCTTCAAGGTGTTGGTGAAAACAGGTGAGGCATCTTGTCTATGTGAATCTGGTAAGCCGGGAGGGGAACAATGGGGCAAGGTGGGCACAGGCTGCAGGTGGGAACCAAAGGGAACAGGTGCTCTCACATGCTGCTGCAGGTGGGAACCAAAGGGAACGGGTGCTCTCACATGGTGCTGCAGGTGGGCTCTGGGCACAACAAAACAGAAACTTGTCCCTGACATTCGACCATCATATACTGAACATGAACCACAGGTAATATTTTGTAGACACCTGAGTACTGGACCACACAGTGTGAAGGCAGAGCCTCAGAGGTCCGGGGCAGGGGGCGGGGGCTGCAGGCAAGCAATCTCGACAGGGCTGCCTGGTCCCTTAAGGAACCCTGAGACCTTGGCAAGAGTATGTATGCAGTTATCTGTGGAGTGAGGAACTGGGTTTCAACACTGCACTCTGTGTGAACATAAATAAAAACATGGAGCCGGGCGGTGGTGGCGCACGCCTTTGATCCCAGCACTCGGGAGGCAGAGGCAGGCGGATTTCTGAGTTCGAGGCCAGCCTGGTCTACAGAGTGAGTTCCAGGACAGCCAGGACTACACAGAGAAACCCTGTCTCGAAAAACCAAAAAAAAAAAAAAAAAAAAAAAAGATAAATAAAAACACGGTAAAACCAGTGAGCACACCCACCTTGCCACCTTGGTAGCAGCTGGGTCCCCATACTAGGGCTTCTAACTTCCTCAGCTCCAGCCCCAAGAGAGCTAGAGAGCCTCTACACACAACTGTGGGGGAGGGGAAGGTTCCTGGCTTGCCATGGTCAAACATTAACCAGTACAGCATGCAGCCTGAAAGGCCCCAGTCTACCAGAACCCCGACTCCTCCAGGATGTAGAGGGAAAAGCTCGTTGCTTCCCTAATGAGGAACTCCCACAAAGGCTGAGCTGACTCAGGCCTCACAGACGCCAGGCAGCAGTTCCCCAGCCAGACTAATTATATGTCACTTTGCAGTTTGGAGAACAGACCACAAAGACAGGAATCTACACTAATTATCTGGCCATGGGCAACGTCAGGTGGAAGGGAAGCAGGAAGACACCCTGGTGCCGGGGATGGAGGCTACAGCGGCAGCTTTACCTCCGGGAAGTCAGAGTGCACATCTGCACTGACTCACCTCCCTCTTTATAGCTCCGGCTGATGTAACAGCGGCGGCGCTGCACTAGACTAGAGAAAGCTCCCTTGCCTGCGTCATAGCCGCCGCCGCCCGCCACAGTAACTTGCTTAAAAACTCCCACGTCTCCCCGTCAGAGTAAAGGAGTGAGAGAAAGCTGTGGGGTGGACACGGCCCCTGAGACGCTCCCCCATCACCCTTGTCCCTTTCTCACAGGTCCCCAATCTGACAGCTTTCCTTACACTGCCCCACATTTCCTTATAGGTCCGATAACAAAGAAACCCAAGCAGCCAAGCCTCTCTTAATCCCGCCTCCCCACACACCGGCTTCTGGGTGCAAGAGGCTGGCGGATTGCATCACTAGCCAGATCCCATTTGGCTGGGGTGAGCCGGCAGGAGGGGTGTGGCTAAGCCCAAAGCCTACCGCCTCAGCCTTGGCAGCTGTGGTCTCTCTGGTTTCTGAACTCTGAAGGGAAAGTATGACACAGCCCTGGGCTGTAGGAACTGTGTCTCTGCTGAGTCGCCCTGTATGAGGTGCCCCTCTGAACCTCTAAGGAAGGGAGCAGTGTACTGAACCACTGTCCTCGCTGTCCCAGTGGGCCCCTCTGCTACTCCAACACCCTGCCCTGTCTGGGCAGAGCCAGCTTCTCTCCAGCCAAAAACAGGCCTGAGCCCAGACTCCAGGCCAAGTGGACAGAGGAAGGCCACCACGGGCCTCGGCAACTGGGGTTGAACTTCTTCCTAGCTGCTGACTTCTCTTCTGACATCAAAACAAGACAGAACAAAGGGGACTTTATACTTTGATGTCTCTTATAAAAGTCAGAGCAGGTGGTGAATCGGTAATGCTCACTGACTCGGGAACAAGCGAACAAGGGGAACAAGGGATCGTTATCTCCCACAGCCCCGCTTTCAAAACCAAACAATCTGAAATAAATGAATGAATTCATCTGGGTCCAGGGGCTTCTGACCTTCTCGAGACACTGTCATGAGAGACGGTCAGAAGACTGACTGGAAGGAACCTCAGCTCCCTACTCAGACAATCTGCTGCCTGGCCACTGTTTCCTCGCCAAAGACAAAGGCAGCAGGATTGGGCCGTGACCCACTCCTGCTCATATGCAGCCCTGTGACAAGGGGGGAAGCCTGGCCACAGCGTAGGAGGCAAAGCCGGTGCTTTTTGGGGTTCTCCACATGACACCAATAGATAAACATGGCTGTGCTGGCTAGCAGCGACATCTGGGCCCGAGAGATAAAGCCCAGTGCCTCACACTGAGTGCAGATAGCTGTGCAGGTCAGGCCCTCGGCCCACAGACCTAATGACTACTCTTCACAAGGTTAGTTTTCATCCCTAGCCAGCTGCATGGGGACACCCAGGGATACTTGGCTTACCACGGGCTCAAGAGCTCACCCTTTACAGAATGCTGGAGAGACCCTTTACTGTCTCACTGGGTTGGCAAAACACAGTGCTCCAGCCATGGAAGAAGCCCTAGGCTCACCCTGACACCACCTGACCCATGGCTGAGCAGGCATCTGGCACTAGAATCTCTTCCCTAAAGAACCATGCTTGGGGCAATATGGCTGCTGAGGAACTGCTGCCTCACTACAAAGAGCAGGAGGTAGAGACTCCTGAAGCTGGTCCTGTCCACGCTCACCCAGCAGCGCCCAGTCTCCCAAGGCTCCTGGGGCAGGGCAGAGGAAATGGCTGGTGGCTTCAATGGTTCCAGGAAGCATGGCTGGGCTGGTCCTCCAGGGTACATCTATCTCTGGCCCAGTGACTGGACGAAGGCCTGAGCATGAGTTGGCTCAGACCTGGGATTGTCTGGAGGTGATCCTGGCTCCATCTAAATTGAGTCTGTCAGCACACGCAGGGACTTGAGACTTGTAGGTGATCCCACTGATGGACACAGGACTCAGCAGTACTTCCTAACTCCTTAAAGTATAGGTGTTACCAGTTCCCCACTCAAGTCTCCCAGGTAGAACCCAAAAGAGCCCCAGTGAGCCTTCTGCGCAGGTTCAAGGTCTGCTTGGAATAACCAGCAGGTGGGAATGTCCAGTGGCCAATCACCCCAGTACTCACCCTAACCAGACTCCCCAGGTGCTGGTAACCCCCTCCCCCAATCACTGGCACTCCCACTCAGACAAGTCTAAGAGAGCTGTGCCTCTAAGGTCAGCAGGCTCCCACATGCTGGGGCCATTAGCCCAGGTTGCCCACTCAGATACAATGCGTGACTTCTCTAGAATCCCTTTCTTGGGCTCCCAAGAATGCATGTGGTCACACAGGTCAGGAAACCTGCAGGGTGTGATCCAACTCCAGCACTGGATGTCACTCTGATGGGCCAAGAATCTTGGCCCATCCCTAAGTCTTTGCAGAGGAACATTGCTCCTATGGAGTTTTCAGTGTTCTTCTTCTTCTTTCTTTAACTCGAGCCAGGGTTTCTCTGTGTGGCCCAGCTGTCCCAGAACCCACTCCATGCTCCATAGACCACTGTGGTCTGCGACTCGGGCACGCACCGCCACCCCCGGTGTCCTCAGAGTCCTATGTGTCCCGTCCTCAGGCTCAGGTCTACATGGGTGCTCCGTTATCTTTCTCTCGGTATGGGGTGGGACTCAGGCCTCATCTGCTGAGCACTCACAGTCAGCCAGAGACAATTCCGGGGTGCAGGTTATCAGGGACTTTTCAAACAGGCCTGGCATATCCTCCCACGGGTCAGAAAACATCAGCTTAAAAAGCTCAAACACTGGGGCTAGAGGGATGGCTCAGCGGTTAAGAGCACTGAGTGCTCTTCCAGAGGTCCTGAAGGTGTCTGAAGACAGCTACAGTGTACTCTTACACATGAAGTAAATAAATCTTTAAAAAAAAAAAAAAAGCTGAAACACCCAAGTCTTGGGCTAACCAAAACACCCACTCACCCCAAGCAACTTCCCAACATTTCTGAAGCAGGTTCCCTGAAAACAGAGGTCCCAAGGGTTCCTGGTAACTCCAAAAGGCTGCCTTGCTCCCCCAACTCCCACAGGATACCTGACAGCTCTTAACCTCTGCTCCCACTCTAGAGAACCACCACCACCACTGGCTTAAACCCTACACCAGGGGCTTCGTGGTCCCCTCCTGATCTGACCGCTGCAGTGTTGAGCATCCACGGGAAGGAAGTTCTGTGTG